CGTGCAATTACGTGTTCATCGATTTTGCGTGTATGCGGATTCCGTGCAACTGATCTGATTTCCGTGCTTTGGACGTGTTATATTTCGTGCAGTCATGTGCAATCACGTGTAAAAATTTCTTATAGGGCAAAGAAGTCGCCTCTGAAAAGTTGTTTGTTAGATGAAGGGGTTTTAAGGCAAATGAATTGAAAAATATACGTGAAGAAGTAGGGTTATTCTTACCTTTATTTATTTAATTTTTATTTTATACTTATCTTGTTTTCGTTAGAAACATAATGTAAAGAAACAGAAACTGCTCGCACAGCTTAGGGCTAAGATCACTTACATGAACATTTGATTTGGTAAGTATTATAATGAATATTTCTTTGCACTTTATTTTATAAAAAGAAATAGTTATTGTTTTTTGTTTATTCAGGTTTTATTCATATCAAAATATTCGATCTGAGAGTATATATTTTTTTTTGGATGTAAAAATATATATTTTTTTAAATTACTCTTACGATAAATAAAATTTAAATATAATCATTTACGAAATTATTATTTGAAAAAGTTCAGGTTGCATATATTAAAAAATTCTTTTTTGATGTATATGCAATCTAATACATGCTATATATGATCGATCAGAAATCGTGATTATAGAAAAAAAATTAATATGTTAATAACATTTACACATGACAATATTACAGCAATCGTCAATAATACAGCACTAGTAACAGCTAAATAAATCGCGAGACCAGTGTATTGATCCATGATACCTGGAATGATCGCAACCAGATTAAATACCCAAGTAAAAATTAACAAATCAAAAATAAAAGCTAATACATTAATTACATTAAAAGTTATAAATAAAGTTTTTAGACTAGTTTTTTTTTGTTTGAATAAAAATGTCTTTGATCATTTTGTTTACGATTTATTGATGATAGGCGTATAGTTTGATATATAGAGTGTGTAGTGTTAAACTAGTGTTTCATATTAAAAATTATAAATACATGACTATATAATCAAGTATTTATCTTATTCATAGATTTTTACCTGAACTCAGATATGGATGAAAATAAACATTTAAATTACGAACAGATACGTTGTAAGTACAGAAAAGTGAAAATCGTTTGTTATAATGACATGGATATGCTTATCACTACATTACAACAAAATTACAATGATCATATTGGAATCGTGGTGTCTAATCAAGATTATAAAAAATTAATTGATCATATTGATTACATTAAAAAGAAAGAAACGATCGAGGAATAAAATATTCATAAAAAAAAAAAATCTATCATCTTTCACCGTTGTAAAAATTACGATTATTTTACAATTTCTTATATTTATTATATTGCGGAAATGATATCTTTGGCATTCCGATTTGACATCTTACTCAGGCATTCGACGTATTTGAACAACACTTTTTTATATACCGAATGTAATGAAATATCATGTATCTCGTCAGTTATCGATTTCAGTTCTTCGTCATCCAAAAAAAAAAAAAAATAGGTAAATATTGATGACATCCTACTTCGTGAGCGAGGGAATTTATCGAAAGGGTTATTCCACAGGTGAGGTACTGAGTTTATATAACGATCCGTTCATTAACAGACACTGGAACAGATCTCCCTTGCTCAACACAATCTGTAACCGAATATGATGATAGATCGTGATATCGTTTTATCGAATTCAATATTATTTTTTTTTAATAAATAAATTGTTCTGGAAACTGACTATATATAAAATTCCAGTAACGAATATGAATTATTGCAACCGTTACTGTAATTATGAATAAATATATTGTAATAGCGCAAATCCAAAAAAAAAGTTTAGAATACATTATTTGACCAATGAAATGATAAATGTAAGTGTTGAATTCACCATCTAGGAGATTTGTTAAAAATAAACCGAAGAAAAAAGGTATAACAAGAAAAATGAAGTAAAGTTTTGAAAACACTTTATAAGTAGTATTGAAAGTGTTTTACAACGAATGTATCATAAGGAAAAAAAAATACAAACTATATGTTAATACAGTATAGAGATTAAACAATTAAAGGCTGATGAATAAGTGAGTAGGCGTAACTTCAATATAAGACATTATGCGTAATTCATTTACGTAAGTCTTTGAAATAAAGCATATGGATAAAGGGTTATGCATAAAAGGTAAATCAATCCGACAATGAATATTAATGAATATTACACGTTATCGACTTAATTTTTTTTATCGATTTGCAGATGTTAGGGATCGATATTAAAAGTTGGTTTTTTTATTGTAATAAATTAATGATATTTATTCAGAACAAAAACTCATTGTTTAAAGTTATAAAATGAATCGTCGTTTACAAATTTTAGATAATTTACAGATATCTAAATGCGTGTCAAGAATACAGTTGGTTTTATTCTGTTGGTCTTGTTAGTCATTAGTTTGGACGTGGTTCGTTCCAAAAACGTTGGTAATCGAAAAGAAAACCAAGAAGTACCATTCGATCCTCAGAGAATCTCGTGCACAGGTAAATGAAATCACACTATTTTGTTTCGATTTAAACGATTTACTAACGAGGTTTTATCATGATCAATCAACAATCGTTCCATACTGGTGAGTATCTTTATTTTTTTTTCAAAAATATACCTTTCACTCGATGACTAACCATCTCGTTTTATAAATCGTGATGTTTCGTTACAAATGATCGATTTTTTTTTGTAGGAGATGTTGGTGGTGCGAACTGTGATATCACAGATCCCAATATCATTCGGAGTTGCACGATCACGAAATTGGTCGTTGACGGCAATAATCAACCAAGCTAGATAACGAAGGCAAGTTTGTCTACGAAGTCACTACGGTCAATGTCCGATGTGCCGTGGGTTTGGTGTGTTCCATAGACAGACAGAGACAAGATGGTCTCGGTATCGGTACTTGTATGGAAGACGGCAAACAATTGATCAATCCTTCCACGACAACTGGTGTGGAACCGATAAAAACATGATTGTAATTGTTTTTCATTTTGATCACATATTAGTTTTGTTTATGAATATGATTTTATTTGTTTGAATAAAAACATTTATAAAGAATATACAAAAAAAAAAAACAATGTAACAAGTGGTAAATTCTGATAGTTCAATCAACTTGATCGAGAGTTGTGAAAGGTAAAATTAATCCATCTTTGTAGGGATAGGGTAAACCCAATCCGTTATTTTTGATGTGATTTTCTAATATCTTGACATATCTTTTCAATGCATCGTTGTGATCCGATTAGAGCTGCAGGTGAAACTAAATCACACTGGTGAAACTGGTGACTATCTAAAATCTGATTGGCTATTGCATTCAATAACCAATCAGATTTTAGATAGTCACCAGTTTCACCAAGTTTCACCAAGTTTCACCAGTTTCACCAGCAACTCTAGATCCGATACTGTTTCATCATTTCTTTCCAGTGTATTATTGCTGTTTCTCAATTATTTGTTCTGGGAGAGTAGGATACAGCGACGATTAAACGATTTATCGTCTTCGTCATCATACCTCGAGTTTTGTTGTTTATTAATGATATTGTATGTTTGAAAAAGAGTATTTACTTTACTATTAAATAAAGGTGTTCTATTGAATATATTTTTTGCATATAATTTTTCTTCCGCCATTTTGAAAATGTGATGGTGTGGAATGGGTTGTGTAAAAAAACGTCTGTTTGATTATCAGGAATACGTAATGGGATTCGGCATTATTAAATGCAAAATTTTTAGGGTTACGAGATCAACATGTCGTAACGAATTATCAGTTTGAAGATGAAACAGTTATCGACGAGGTTAAATATCTATTTAAGTAACAAATGTTCTAGTTAAGATGTATTATCTCAAGACATTAGTACTCAACTTAATAATCTTATTTTTGTTCTTTGGTTGTTCATCTCAGTTATCTGGAAACGTTACCGGTGACAACATAAGACAAAATCAAACATCCGGATCTAACCATAGCATCACTATCCAAGGTGATTGTTCTTGTGGAAGTCCTCAGGATTGCATGAAACCACAATGCTCCTTGCATCTTTTACAGTACTGTTTCAAAGGATTGTGCGTTGATAGGTGTAATAGCGACGATGATTGTCCTATGAAAAAATGCGTTGATGGAACTTGCAAGTGTAAATCTGATGGTGATTGTCCCGCGTCCTTTCCATATTGTTATCTGATCGGACAAGATTTGGGTGATTGCCGGGTTTGCAAGTCTGATTCAGATTGTAGCGCGGCGGTATCGATCGGTTGGTTTTATTGCATTGACGGTAATTGCAAGGCTTGTCGTGATCACAGTCAATGCCCAGATGGGTATTTTTGTAACGATGGCGGTTGCCAGGAATGTCAAAAGGACAGTGATTGTCCGTCAGCTCTAGGATCATTTTGTAATCTTGAGCAAGGGATGTGTTGTACTAAATCGGATTGTACTTGCGACACTAGTGCTGATTGTTCGGAATACTTTCCCAATTGTATCTACTCAAATTTTTACAAAGTATCTAGATGTAGAGGTTGTTATGCCAATAGCGATTGTACTCTTACAAATGATCCGGAATTGAAATTTTGTCATAATAACTTGTGTTGTAAGCAGGAAGGATGCGTTTGTAAAACGCGTTTTGATTGTCCTGGACACGGTTATTGTGGACCAGACGGATATTGTAAAAAGTGTCCGTTGCAACATAATTTTTGTCCATATGATAAAGGTGACTCATTCGATAATCATAGTACTATAGTTAATGTGAAGACTAAGAAAGGTACTGTTATGAGTTCTCAAGCTACAATAGTTAGTAAGATAATTAGTAAAAAAGCTAAACCGACAGCTAAAAAATAAACGTGATTGTGTGTAATTTTTTGTTCGATATTCGGTTCATCTTATTTGTAAGATATGAATTCATTATGGATGGGATAGCTATTTAGTGAAAATAATTATAAATATGATTTTGACGTGAATGTTTAATGTTGTGAAATTTTAAAGTCGAGATGACTGAACAACAGATTGAGGATTTCTATCATATTAAGACAGAGTATGAAAAAATCTTTGATAAGTAAAAAGGTTCTTTATAATCTTTGTTCTGATCAGGTTCCATTTGTTGCGTTATTCGATGAGTATATTATATATATATTTTATGTTTTATTTCACAATACAAATATGTCGAATATGTTAGTTTTGTCTTGTAATAATATAAACAAGTAAATAGACACATCATTGATATTTTTTTTGTTAATTTTTTTTTTATTTATTTATTATGATAGGAATATGAAATAAATAAATTCTAATAAAATTCAACGAATAACATAACGATAAATACATGCCATTTTTCTTTAAAACATTTCAATTTAAATTTTTCGCGTATTTCCTCAACCTCACCCTCCTCTATTCCTTTACATTTCTCATTCATAATCTTTTCTAAATACTTAAACGAATCTCGATCAAAGGATACATGATTGTATTTAGAATTCATTCTCCTATCATCATCGTACCAGAAATAAAGTTTTCCGTCGTTATGATGAAAATCCACGTATTTTTCTATCATCTTTGATTCACAGACAGAAAGACCACGCGATAAAAATACGATAATAAAATATTTAAAAATACCGGGAAAATTAACCGCCATGGATTCAAAAACATCATCTTCTTTAAACCTCATAATTAAAAACATTGGAACGGTGCAAAATACAATATTTACAAATTGAGAAAATACTATAGATAAAAATAGTGAAATTGAATAAATATAATGCTGTACCAGGAACGGAGTGATGTATATCACGTAGTGTATGGTTATATGGCAATCGAAATGGCGTTACTCCGCAAAATCTTAGATCTGATTGGCCCGCGTGACCTTAATTGTCGCATGCTGATTATTTTTCACATATCAAGTATCGCATTGTATCCAAGAGATGATTTGACAGTGCCTTGCTATCTATGTACTAAACCTTTATGTGCGTGTATATGCATGCTGGAAGTTCTGTCGATGGAGGCCGATTAATTAAATTCTTATTTCTAATTCGAATTATATTTCGTTAAAATGTGGGCTGCGAATGGGCTGCGAATGAATATTTAGATACGTATGTTGAATATTTTTAGTTGCTATATGCTTCCGTTAACCAATGATTTATAATTATTTCTTGTCAAATGAAATATTTGATAAAAAAGAAAATAAGATCTTGCAGATGGGTATGTAAAAGAACTCAAAAGACAAGAAGAGTCTAACCTAACGGAACTATGAACAATGTAATGAAGAACGATAAATGATATTTACTGTACAATACGAATTGAATTTTTGGTGCCTGTAATTGATAGTAACTGGCTAAAGCGTATTAAAAAAAATTAAAAAACCCCATTTTATGGCCTTCTTTTTTTGGTCATTCATGTAAAACATTTAGAAGATACGACTCTTATTTGATTCCTTATTTAGGTAATCTACGATTATCGTTATTAATCGATAAGCAAAAAAGTAATGTCAAGATCTAATGATAATTGATAGAAAATCATTTTCATTTATAAGTCTTAATAACCCCTTAACATTAAAATAATTCTGCCCCCTGCTTGCTTTAAATGCCCTTCCGAATATGGAGATCTAATTTTGATTTGATAATAGAAATTCATTAACGTTAGCGTTACTCTTAAATTAATTACCAAAAATGGATAACTAACTGAAAATGAGCGAGATATTGCACATCAACAGCATAGCGGGCTTTCATTCCGATTGGCCAATTTTGTAGATCATCCCGTGATATCATAAAATTTTATTGGTTAATCAAAATTTTAACTTTACTAAATCGTCACGAATAAAAAAAACAATATGTACAAAA